GAGTTTCGATGAGCTTATATATCATGTAATATTGTCACAACATTGTGTCATAAGGGCATTCTTTGGTGTATACACATACACACTTCCCATACTCTTCACACATTTTTTCACAGTGCGTTCACATTTTTACACAACTTGGTTAAGACGTTCACAGATTTTATGGGTGTTCTTCACTGTTTGACTTTTTACACTTTCTTCACACTTTCTTCACATATGATTGTATAGTACAGTCTCTCTTTGCATAACTTATCTTGGATATAGCCTATTTCTTACTGATTCTACTTTCTCTTTCACTCTAGTTCTTTCTTTCTTTCTTTCTTCTTTCTTTTTTCTTTTCATTTCTTTTAATTTCCTTTTTTGGTATTTTTTTTCTTGTTTAGATTTCTTTTGTATTTCATCATTTTTTTATCTCCTCACGTCACAATCACACAAATTTATTCATTAGAGTTGCTACCGTTGTACTGAACACTCCTGGAGGAAGTCCCACACCCAAGCTGACTATCTTCATTATAGATTCATATTGTTTTCATACAGCGCAGCCCTTGCCCTCGTCAAACAGTCATACTTTTCCTCTCTCATTAATTCATGCTCCCGCAATTCCAGGCATCTCTTTGACACCTTTAACTCTCTTCTACGCCCTGCTGTGGCTACCCTCCAAACTAACCTTACAGCCGATAGCTTTGCATGCTACTTTACCGACAAGATTGAACAGGAAAGAATTCTCCCCACCCTGCTATTCTGTCTCTCAACCACACGTAGATCATGCCTTTCCTACCCTTCAGACTTTCTCCACGACTACTGAACAAGAGGTGGCTGCGCTTCTCCTTTCCTCTCGCCCCACTACTTGCCCGCTTGATCCTGTCCCGTCTCACCTCATCAGACCTCTCTCCCCTTGTCTTGTGCCTTCCCTAACACACATCTTCAACTGCTCTCTCTTCTGGCATTGTCCCTGCTGATCTTAAACATGTCACCGTAGTACCTATCCTGAAAAAAACATATCTTGACCCATCCTCCCTATATAACTATCGTCCCATATCCCTGCTCCCTTTTTCCTCAAAGCTCCTGGAAAGACTTGTCTTTACCCGTGTGTCTTGCTTCCTCAATTCCAACTCTCTCCTTGACCCTCTTCAGTCTGGCTTCCGCCCTCTCCACTCTACTGCTCTTCAAAACTGAACTCCTTGTCTTTCCTCCTCCTAATACTGTTCCTCCTCTCTCGCTCTCCCTTCAAGTCAGTGGTATCCACATTAGTCCATCCTTGCAAGCGTGCTGTCTTGGCGTCATACTTGACTCTGACCTCACCTTTGAGCCTCACATCCAGTTTGTTGCCAAACCCTGTAGATTCCAACTTAAAAACATAGCCCGCATCCGCCCCTTTCTTACAAAAGATGCTACCAAGGAGCTTGTCCATGGTCTAGTAATTTCCTGCATGAATGATTGTAACCCTCTCCTGATTGGTCTTCCCAAAAGACGTATCGCCCCGCTACACTCTGTAAGGAATTCTGCCACCAGAGTGATTTTCCTCTCTAGTCGGTTCTCTCACACCTCACCCCTCTGTCAGTCCTTACATTGGCTTCCTGTATCCTATAGGAGTCAAGCCAAAGTGCTAACCGATACATATAAAGCACTGAACAATTCTAGCCCCTCTTATATCTCTTCACAGATCCATAGGTATGCCCCTCCTTGTTCCCTCCACTCTGTCCGTGACCACCTCCTGACTGCTGCTCGCACCCCCCCAGACGGCCAACTCGCGTTTGCAGGACTTCTCGAAGGCAGCTCCCTTCCTATTGAATAGCCTGCCTACTGCCATCAGACTCTCCCCTGGTCTTCAATCATTTAAGAAGTGCCTTAAAACCCATCTCTTTAGGAAAGCTTATGGCCTCCCAAAGTAACCTCTACCTTACACACCAGTCTCTTGCTCTCTCTTCTATAGGGCATCACTTTACTCTCTCCTCAAGCTCTGCTTCACTTCCACCTTATTTGATTGCTATTTCCTGTCCTAATGTGTTTTATACCCCACCTCCTATAGACTGTAAGCTCGCTTGAGCAGGGTCCTCTTCAACTTATTGTTCCTGTAAGTTTTCTTGGAATTGTCCTATTTATAGTTATATCCCCCCTCTCATAATATTGTAAAAGCGCTACGGAATCTCTTGGCGCTATATAAATGGCAATAATAATAATAATAATTAGCCGAGTTTGACTTATCTGGGAATAATTAGTCGAGTCTGCACAGTTTCCCCTTGCTTTAAATGTTTCGTGGCCATGTTTCTCAGCTCTAAATATGCTTTTAGTTTGTTTTCATGTGTTCCTCCGTAATTATATATATATATAGCTCAGAGATAAGTTTTATATAAAGAACAAGCAGAATCTATTAAAAAGAACTCTGTCAAGCAGAATTACCAGGAAGAAGTATCCGTTGTCTGACTGACAGCTATGGGGGTGTAACAATGTTAATTTATAAAAGTGCCAATTTGTATTGAAATCTTTGTAAGGTAAAAAGGTGGACACATTCTTCACACATGATGCACTTTGGCAAGATCTGAAATGTCTCATTAAATTTGTAATTGTGGTAGAAACTAGGATTAGTGATAGAATTATGGATAGATTATAATTAGTGATATATAATCAGTGATATAGTAGTGATATAGTAGCCATATCACTAAGGCTACTTTATCTTATGGTACATTCTCAAGTTGACAAAATGTGGCAGAAGGTGGGCTACCTCCCAGAAGCATATTTAGGTTAATGGCAATGGGGCAGAATTAGAAAAAAAAAGAGATATAGGTTAAGGTTACCAATAATATTAACATTTTTTATATTACTTGGTATAATAAAGGATCACTATAGGGTCAGTAACACACATAGTTACATAGGCTGAAAAGAGGCATGTGTCCATCAAGTTCAGCCTTACTTACATTTGTTTTTTGCTGTTGACTCAAACGAAGGCAAAATAACCCAGTTTTGAAATCCCTCTTGACCCCAGAATGGCAGTCAAATGTATCCTTGGATCAAGAAGCTATTACCCTACAGCTGAAAAATCATATCATCAAATATTCTGTTTTTGCAAGTATGTATCTAGTTGCTGTTTAAACATCTGTACTGATTCTGATAAAACCACTTCTTCAGACATAGAATTCCATATACTTATTGTTCTTACGGTAAAAAAAACTTTCCTTTGCCTTAGACTAAATCTTCTTTCTTCCAGTCTAAACACATGACCTTGTGTCCTATGTAAAGTCCTGTTTGTGAATAGATTTCCACACAATGTTTTGTATTTTCCCCAGATATATTTGTGTAATGTAATCATATCCCCTCTAAGGCGACATTTTTCTCAACTAAAGAGGTTTGCATTTGTTAACCTTTTTCATAGCTAAAATGTTCCATTTCATTTATTAATTTTGTAGCTCACCTCTGCACTCTTTCTAGTACCATAATATCCTTCTTTAGAACAGGTGCCCAAAATTGCAAAACATAGTCAAGATGTGGTCTTACCAGTGATTTATAAAGAGGCAAATTTATATTCCCATCCTGAGAATTAATGCCCTTTTTCATGCATGACAATACCTTACTGACATTAGCCACTGCTAATTGACATTGCACATTGTTGCATAGTTTATTGTCTATAACAATTCCCAAGTCCTTCTCTTGTGTTGTTATCCCTAATTCTCTTCCATTAAGGGTGTACATTGCTTGTACATTCTTTATGCCTAAGTGCATAATTTTGCATTTTTCTACATTAACCCCTTAACGCCGTTATGGCGTTCTATGCCGTCGCGGCTTTAAAGGGCTTTAAAGCCATTGCGGCGGCATAGAACGCCGTAACGGCTTTCAGCCCCAGGGGATCGCAGCTACTTACCTCCGCTGCGATCCTCTTCGTGAGGGCTGCCTGACCGCCCAGGCAGCCCTCCCCCGGCGAATGAGGCCCCCGGGGGCCATGTGATCGCTCTCAAAGAGTGATCACATGGCCCCCTATAGCTGGCTATGGATCTGCCAGCAGGGGGACTGTCTGAAATATCAGACAGTCCCCCTGTTGGTGGGTAGAGATGTCGCGAACCGTCCGCGAACTTCTCACGAACGGTTCGCCGCGGTTCGCCACGGTTCGCCACAAACTGTTCGCCACGAACTCCGGTCAGCTGACACATCCCGGCCAATCTCCGGCAGACCCTCCCTCCTTCCCAGACCCTCCTACTTCCTGGACAGCATCCATGTTGAAGGCAGCTTCAACATGGATGCTGTCCAGGAGGTGGGAGGGTCTGGGAGGGAGGGTCTGGCGGAGATTGGCCAGGATGTGTCAGCTGACCGGAGTTCGCCACGAACGGTTCGTGGCGAACCGTGGCGAACCGTTCGCGAGAAGTTCGTGGATGGTTCATGACATCTCTACTGGTGGGAATGAAAAAAAAAAGAATAAACATGTGTAAAAATAAATTAAATATATTTATATATATATATAACATATGTATATATATTATATATATAATATATATACATATTATATATATAACGTCATACGTTGTGTATTTTAATACTAATATCAGTATATATATTAATATTAAAATACACTTAGAATGGCGTTACATATATATAATTAGTGATGTCGTGAACCGTTCGCGAAATCCCCGCGAACGGCTCGCCACGGTTCGCCATGAACCGTTCGCAGCGAGCTCCGGTCAGCTGACACATCCCGGCCAATCTCCAGCAGACCCTCCCTCCCAGACCCTCCCACCTCCTGGACAGCATCCATGTTGAAGCTGCCTTGTATATATATTATATATATAATAGATATATACACATATATTATATATATATATATATACGTATAATTACATTAATAAATAAATAAAATAATAAAATAAATAAATAAAATATTGAAACAAAATTTTATTAAAACTAGAAAAGCTACAATTTCTGGGGAAATTGTGTGAAGTGTTCTTGCCTCCACCAGTAGTCTACAACTGGAGTGGGCGGAGTAACTGTTATCATTTATATAGCACATTTAATTGCAACGTTGTTGCACAGTTACATTAAACCATACATTTATAAAACATTAGCAGGTGTTCAAAAGGCCCTGTCTATGACATCACTTGCTGCTGCAGCTTGACAGGTCAGAGTATTTTGGTGGTTGCCATCTTCAAACGGTCGTATTTTAAAAACTATAAATCCTACAGCGAAGAGCTTTATATTGTGAGAATCACAAGACCCAGACCTACATTTTGATGTATAGTATGTCTCTGAAGTATTAAAAATGAAGGCACAGTCGCAGTTTAGAAATTGCACTTCAAATTTGAGCTTTGTAGAGTGAAGTTTCAATGAATGTCAATGGACGGTGTTAGTTGCAAACAAATGATTATATTGTGAAAACTATCAGGACTATGGCTTAGCCGTTGACATGTTTAGTGGCAGCAGGGATAGCTGAACGTTTTGATATAAGATTTGTGTAGGTGGGCCTGAAAATAAGGGAGTGGTGGCAGTTTAGAAATCATAACCTGATTTTTCAGCTTTTGCCAGCTCCCACTCTAGCTTTGCCATTCATTCCTATGGGACAAATTTCACCACAAGAACGACGATATTCCGTGAACCATTCGGCGAAACGTTCCACAAAGTAATAGCAATCCAATCGGGAACAATCTGCACGTTTTGGTAAATTTTTGTCTATGTAGTGTAAAAACTGTGGGAGGAGTTAGGGTGGCAAATTTTGCTATAATAATAATAATAATAATATTATGTGAGATAACAATAAGTGGTCTTGCTATGCAAGAACACTTAATATAATAATATATATGTGAGATAACAATAAGTGGTCTTGCTATGCAAGAACACTTAATTATTTATTGATATGTATTCTAACTGTATTTTGTTATTAATATATATATATATTGGTAACAAAATACACTTAGAATGACATTCTATATATATCTATCTATATATAAAATACAAATAAAATATATATATATATATATATATATATATATATAGATAAATACATATAATTACATAAAAGATTACATTAGTATACACATAGAATTTAAATACCTATAAATGCATATATATTAAAATTCTACGTGTATATTTAAGTAATCTTTTAACGTAATTATGTGATTTGATTAATTAAAATTTGATTGACATGCCTGACAACACAGGGAGAAAGTGCAGATAATTTAATTTGCAAGTACTATATTTGACCCTGTAACTCTCCAAGACACCATAAAACCTGTACATAGGGGGTACTGTTTTACTCGGGAGACTTCGCTGAACTCAAATATTAGTGTTTCAAACTGGTAAATTGTATGACAACGATGATATTTTAAGTAAAAGTTAAGTTTTTTGCATTTTTTTACAAACAAACGGCACATTGATGGACTATATTATTGTTGTAATATGTTTTACTGTTTTAAAACACTAATAATTGTGTTTAGTGAAGTCTCCCGAGAATAACAATAACCCCCATGTACAGGTTTTATTGTGTTTCATTTTTTTGACATTGAAATTTGCCAGGTTGGTTATGTTGCCTTTGAGAGCGTATTGTAGCCCAGGAATAAGAATTACCCCCATGATGGCATACCATTTGCAAAAGTAGACAACCCAAGGTATTGCAAACACTGGCCAAATATTAGATTTTTGCTTTTTTCACACAAAAACAAATATGAACGCTAACTTTGGCCAGTGTTTGTGACTAAGTGGCTACTAAAAAAGACTAAACATACCCCAGGTTCAATACCTTGGGTTGTCTACTTTTTCAAATGGTATGCCATTATGGGGGTAATTCTCATTCCTGGGCTACCACACCGTCTCAAAGGTAACATTACTAATCTGGCAAATTTCAAATTGAAAATGGAACGTTCTATATTTGATCCTGTAACTTTCCAAAACACCATAAAACCTGTTAATGGGGGGTACTGTTGTACTTGTGAGACATCGCTGATTACAAATACGTGCATTTGTTTGCAGTAATACCTAACAGTATTATGACATTAACAGCTAAAATGTCAGACGGAAATACAAATTTAAAAAAAAATCTTATTTTCTAAAAAAAAATTAAAACTTTATTCATAATAAATGATGTTCCATATATGAATAATTAATGATAAATTAAAGCCCTGTTTCTCCTGAACAAAATGATATATAATAAGTGTGGGTGCACTTAATGTGATAGCTGTGAATTACGGGTGAACAGACATATAGCGCAAATTCCAGTTTTTGTTTATGTTTTGTTTTGATCAGAACGTGTACTATTGACTCTGTCCTGAAGGGGTTAAATTTCATCTGCCATTTAAGTGCCCAGTCCCCCTGTCTATCTAGATCCCTTTGCAAGTAATATCTTGCTTACATTGTATAACTTTAGGTAGTTTTGTGTCATCTGCAAACACTGAAACATGACTTTCAATGCTTTCTTCAAGATCATTTATAAACATGTTAAATAGAAGGGGTCCCGGAACAGAACCCTGAAGGACAACCCTTGCCACCTCTGTCCAGGTTGAAAATGTACCATTAATGACAACTCTCTGTACTCTATTTTTAAACCAATGTTCTAACCAAGAACAAGAATTTTCATCTAAACCGATTTCTTTGAGGTTGAATACTAATCTATTGTGTGAAACTGCATCAAACGTCTTGGCAAAATCCAAATAGATCACATCCACTGCAACACCCTGATCTATACTTCTACATACTTCTTCGTAGAATGCAATCAAGTTAGTTTATCATGACCTGTGCTTCACCATGCTGATTTATGCTGATAACCACGTTCTTGTCAAAGAATTCTTGAATATTATCCCTTAACAACCTTTGAAATACTTTCCCAGCCACAGAAGTTAAGCTCACAAGTTTATAATTTCCAGGCAAGAATTTTGAACCCTTGTTTAATATAGGAACCACATCTGCCTTCCTCCAATTTTCCGCAACACTTCCCGAAAGAAAAGACTCTTGAAAGATTAAAAGCAATTCACTTATTTCAACACTTAGTTCCTTAAGTAATGATGGATGAATACTGTCAGGCCCTGGAGCTTTGTTTATATTAACTTTCTTTAGTTGCTGCAGCACCTTGTCTTGAGTTAGCCAATTACAATTTTTCTGGAAGTTTTTTTGCAGCAATCATTTGCATATCTATTGCTGTGGGTTCCTCCTTAACATATACATAGGAGAAATAGTTATTTAAAATTTCTGCCTTTTTTTTTTTGGTCTTCATTAACTAACACTCCTATTCCAGTTTTACCTATACTTTCATCTTTTGTTTTTTTTTTAGAAGTTATGTACTTAAAAAATGCTCTGCGGTTGGTTTTGCTCTCTTGGCTATCATTTTTTCATACTGAAGTTTAGCAAATCTAAACACCTTTTTGCACACATTATTGGCTTCCTAATATCTTTTTAATGTTAGAACCAGGTCCAGACAAGCATCCCTTCTGGTTGGTGCTTGTACAAGTTATTCAATAATGTATTCCTGACCCTGTAGTGTTAAAACACCATCCAGCCCCCCTGGTCTCTACTTGCTAAATGTAGTAAAATCTTACCTTTATTGTAGTATGCTGCATCTGGCTCCTGATCTGCCTCCTGGGGTGACATAATCAGAAGTGTTGATGAAAGCAAAACATAATGTTTTCCCATAGGAAAGAATTGGATTGCCTGAGCTTGTCATGGACAGAGCCAGCACAAGCCAAGCACAGCTCTGGCCAATCAGCACCTCCTCATAGAGATGCATTGAATCAATGCATCTCTATGAGGAAAGTTTAGTGTCTACATGCAAAAGGTGGAGATACTGACTGTCAGTGCTTCCTTCACTGCCCCAGGAAGCACCTATAATAGCAATCTGAGAAGTGGCCAGTTGAAGTATCCCTAGGCTGTAATGTAGACACTGAATTTTCTCTGAAAAAAAAGTTTTTTTACTGCAAAATGCCTGAGGGGAATAAGCTTCAGTTGTTCTGGTGAATCTAGTGTCCCTTTAAAAAATATTATATTAACCATTCAATTATTTGTACATCTAATTTGGGATGAAGTTGGGGATATGGTTCTAAAAGAATAGGAAGATATATGTTATTTGGATAGGTATAGACCAATACCCAATTCCTATGGATAGTTACAGGATCAGTATAAGAGTTCTTTTTTTAAATATAATTAAAGTTAGTATCAGATAAGTGTTGAGAACGGTATTATTTTTTAAGTTTGCTACCTTGAAACCCATTCTTTTACAATGATCTAAAAGATGGCAAATGTAACAATTTCCAGTTATACAAGGTAAAGGGAAACATTCTATTTTGAATCCATAATGGCATTCATATTTCTTTGTGGAAAACAACCTGTTCAC